GGAACGTTTGGGAGTTAGTATGTTGATTTTGGTGATGGAGGGACGTTTAGGGGTTGAATGTATTTATGTTTTGTGGGGGTGGAGCAGTTTGGTGATTGGTCTTTTGAGGGTGAGGTGGTATTTGAGAATTATTAATTTGAGGATGGGGTGGGGTCTTGTGGGAGGCTGAGGCGTATTGAGGATTTTGTGCGATTAAGTCGATAACTGAGGGGTTTTGAGTAGGAGTAGATGGTCAGTTTTAAGCATGTTCCATGTTTCAAGAGGGAAAGTACAGGGGAGGCCTTCCATCAGTCGAAGCATTGGAAAAAACAACTGGTGAAGGCAAATCTTTTCTCCTTTGAAGTTCCACCCTCATCTCGGGTTTCTGCTACATTAGCTGCATAATCTGTTCATTCTGGTCTACTATGGTAGGTTGAACCACCACAATGTTAATTAGATTAATTTGTTCATTGTTGGCCACCATTACTGCTTTTCCCTTATCTGAACTTTGGTCAGGAAAGGAATCTGCAGGCATTTTAAATCTAGTGAAATAGGGGTGATCAACCAGTTTAATCGACACAGACCAGTTTGTAAGTACCTTGGGAGGAAAACAACTCAAAGACAAATTTGTTAGTTTGAGTTCGAAATACATAACACAAAAGAACCACATAGATATAGGATATAAACACACAAAAAATTCTTTGTTTGAGGACATGCCGACACACAAGTAAAGGGGAAGCTAATTTTTTATGAAAAGAAGAAATTTGCTTGTTTTAATTTGGAGGTCGTCTCAGAAAGGTCAAATCACGTTGATCTAAGGTCTTATTTGTTGTATCTCTTTTGACGTCCGTTGATTAGAGCCTCATTTTTCCTTTTGGAATATAAATGGGGAGAATGAAAATTTTGAAAGATAAGATCAAGGACTTGGAAGGAAGCCTACATATTTCACGAGGAGAATTTAGGCCCTACATAGTTCGGATACAAAGAAATACTTATTTCATTCATTCTAGATGATTACAGGAAAATTGAAAAACACACAAAAAACTTTAAAAGATAAAGGTAAATCCATTTAAACCCTTCTTCTCCACAACGTCACATCATCTATGGGGAACAGACTCGACTCGAATTTTTCCTATAATGACAAGGTATATTCCATGTCGTGGCGGAATGCAAGACATTTTTCAATGCAATGATCATTGCCCTGTGATAAGGGTAACGCTTCCAAACTTTGATTCCAATGGAATATAACTGTCGGACGTCCTTATAGAGAGGTATAAACACCCCGTTTCGAACTAACTCTGAGTAGACCTTCAATATTATTTTCTTGAAAAGCGTGAAGCAAATATAGAACTTAGACTTTTTTGTAACCGGTATGTTGAGCCCCGATTCATCACACTCAAAGATGACGCCGTCACCCTAACACTTTGGGGTACTACCCATACCGAGCAACTCATGGACCACATTCTTAAACTCCACACACTTTTCTATTGTGTGCCCTTTCTGGTTAGTATTACACTCACAGGTCTTGCGGATGTCCCTGATCCCACCTTGGAAGATGCTCTTTCGATGGGCCTCAACATAGGCCTAGACAGATAGTGCTCGAAAAGGAGGGAGCACGGAATGACTTCCATCCTTATTCGGTATTCTTTTGGGTATGCGTCGAGAGTCACTTTCTGGTCCCCTTCTGCTAGACATCCTTGGAGAGAAGGTTTGCGGGAAATTGCTTCCTCATAACTTTCTTCAGTATTCTCCAACTCAGGGCTGTCAGGGGGGAAACAGTATGTTGTATAGGCTCTTTCAATGCTACTTCTGTATGTCAATGGTTTTCTTGTCCAGAATAATGTATTTCAACATCTTAACTGCCAGATCCTAGTCTAGTGGCGGGTTTGTGGCTTCGATTGATTCATTCTGAATGTTCTTGCCTTTATCCATAGCTGGGTTCTCACCTTTCTTGAGATGATACAATAGTTATTTTAGGATTTGGTGGTAAGGTTTGCTTTTGGTTGAGAAACTCAAGACTCAAAAAAATGTGGTTGGATTTTGTAGTAATGACTTGTGTATATTTTTTTTGGAAATTTATGGAAATGAGAGGGATATTGATGCCCTCATTCAAAGCAATATATCACATAAACAGTTAAATACACATATATTGCATCCTAAACATACAGCGAACCCTTTTATCTCAAGGGTAGGCTTAGTGCATTTGAAAGATGTATGCGTGTAATTAAACCATTTAATTACCCCCCCCCCCTTAAGAAAATTTCACCTATGAATAGATAATGTTCACAAGGGGAATAAAAAGGGGAAATAAGGAAGAGAATATAAAAGGACAGACCCACACAGGGGCCATTTAAACGTACAAAAATGTAATAAAGGCAATCCCACACAAGGGATGATAATGACAGAAATACATATAGAAAAACCTATACAGGGGTGAAGTATACTCTGTTCTCCCTGATGGCTTTGCTTCTCTACTGCTTTCTTGTGTCTTTTATTGCTGAAACATGTATCATAGCATCAGTAGGTAACCCTCGCTATGACTTCCTTTTTCTTCCCAGTCCTCATATTGCATCCCCTCAATTTTTTGTTTAACCCATAAGTCAAACTCATCAAAACTGCATCTTAGTCTTTCCAATTCCTAAGTTTTCTTTTCAAGATATCTTGATTTTCGAGAAATTTAGCATGCATTTCTTGTCATCCCGCTTTACCTCTGTTAGTTCGATTACAGTTAGGACTCTTTGTTTTCTACGCTGTGGCAATTGTTTAGGATTGGAGAGGCGATACTTTGTATATTACTTGTCAACCAAACCTTATTAGTTTCGTCGTATCCGATGTCAAACCAGTTTGGAGCAATGGTGTCTTTTTTCATTCGCTTAGCCCCTTTTCATTCTCTTAGCATTTCTGTAGCGTCATCCACTCTATCATCCCCAATGTCATACTCATAGGCGTCAGAGTATGCCTCTTAAGGCATGATTTTCCTTCTCCTTAACTATCATAGGACTAAAAAGGGTGTGTAAGTACAGATTTCCCGAATACCTGGTCGTGGAAGCACGAGTTGTTTGCGGCCCCTTACGACGACATCCTTTGAGATGAAGGGATCAAGCATCCGTTAGAGATCTTCTTCCCTTAGTTCCGAAAAAAATTTGAGCCCATCTTTCTCTAGTCCTTCGTATTTCCAGATTTGCCCAAAACAACATATCGTACAAATCCCTGAGAATGTTCTTATTATCAAGGTTATGCAGTGCATAAGTCCCAGGCCCTTTCTCTAAATGACTTAGGATCCACAATTGAAGGAGTATGTTACATCCTTAAAAGTAGTGATGTCATTCATTGCATTTTTCAAGGGATCGATACATGTCTGACAGTATGCCCGGAGCGACAGGATAATACTTCACTTGCCCTTGATTCTAATACCTGTTGAACAAAGTGTGGACGAGCATTATCACTCAAGTATTGATACGTAGACTCGGGTTATGTGAAAAGACCATTGTTTCCAATAGTGGGACAGAAAATGCCAAAGGCCGGATTTCATTCTATTCCCTGTAGGTAACTCTGAACTATTTGTTATACTTTGCATAAAAAACTTTCATGCCCAAATCTAACGTAGAGGTCCCTAAATGATACACTAGATTCTTGGGCCCAATAAGCGTAATCATTTTCCAACCCAATCCATCTTGTCATATCCTCGACGTAAGACTTGTTAGGAATCAATGTCTTCTTGTTTTCTCACCCTTCTTTCTAACCCTGTACCAATTGTGTTGATGCAGTCTCAAAGTTTCTTGATTGTCAGGGTGATTTCGTCAGTTTCGAATCGGAACACAATTTTCTCGTTGTGCCAATAACCTGTGATGACTTTGATCAGTTCGTGCAAACCTACCATATTGAGTAGTTCCGTTAGGGCACCGATATATTTGTTTAGGGTTCTTTTATAATCCCCATCAAGGTCGTTGTACCACATCTTGATTTAAAGCTGTGCTTAACAAAACCATTTCGAACCTTGGAAAATGATTCATACCTACAAAACAAAACCTAATTAAGTTTAGTTACCCCATATTTTTAGTTTCCTCATGCACATCATTCAAATGTCAAATAATATGGTATGTCGTTAGGACGAAGACCTTGGACATGATTTTAACGGTTTTACTAATGGACTTAATACTCCTTGGGTATTAAGTCATCTTAGGCTAATGCTTACATTCGATTTTGGTTTCTATCTATCTTAGGTTGACTAGAATTGGTTCAAAAATGGCGGTTACGTAAGTCATACACACGGGTATGAAGCTAACAAACGGCGTTGGATGACCGCAAGCCAACTAGTCATTTATTACTTCCAAAGATATACTTGTGTATTTTCTGAAAAAAGTCGTGGTAAGTAACGTAACTCCCTTTGTCCTAATGAAAACTATATTACCGTTTCGCGAAGTTGATGCCATGAAAATGCAGTAGTTTTAATAGTACGATAAAGAAACAAGTAAGCAATTATTTCACATAGACAAATATTTTTTGTTTTAACATTAGAAACCTCCAAATCACCAGCGGATTCACCATTCTATTTTATTTGGAGGAAAAATATTTTTATAGTTTATAAGTTTTGACTTGTTTAGAGTTGCCATTTAATTTTTAAAGAAAAATCCAGAAAACTTAGTTTTCAAAAGATTTAAAAAGGAAACCTAATGGAAAACTATAAAGGGATTCGGGGATTCATATTTATATTTTAGGAACGTTGTAACGACTCCTCAAACATTTGCTAACTCGCAATTATCCAACAACTAAATTTATTTGGCTAAAAGTATTTTTAGTTCGAGCTTGGTTTTGATACATTCATTTAGACACTTTTCAATAATGAAAAACATCGACCTACTATCTAAGTGAGTTATTTGATTTGCAAGATATATTATTTTTTATTCGGATGATCGATTTAATTTAAAATAGTTAAAAGATAAAGGTGCCTGCGGGGATTTGAATTCTTTTAACCCTAAAGCTAAAGACAATTAATAAAAAATTAACAAACGAGAATGTAATAGAGAGAGAAAAAGATAGTTGGGTCCAAATCCGGTTCTGTTTGCCTGGACCGATATTTTGAACCATATTGTCTTTGGCTTTTAGCCTATTTGTACCTGTCCTATGTTCTAACAATCTAATAGTAGTAAAATGGCAATGGATTAGGCCCAAAAATAACAAAATACAATATTTCGTAAAAATAAATTTGGGCTTCTTGACCCAAAATCTTCAAGCTCTCGGCCTTTTTTTTATTTTCTCGGACTTTGGGACCTATACGTCTATTCATGCTAATTTACTCAAGAAGAAATTTTGAGCCTTTGTTGCTCTCCCAAAATGCAAGAGGGCGAGAAGGACTTCGTAATGAACTCGAGCAAATCTTACATGAAAAAGAAAAAAGTATAGTAAGGTCCAAGAGAGTTCAAGTAAAAAATAAGACAAAGAAACTATTCTACGAAGTATTGGCGAACAAAACATAATATTGGTAACATCAAATATACTTATACCAAGACTCATTTATTCTGAACGACATTAAATGAAATGATCTAATTCATCAAACCCATATGAATGTAAAGTCACATCAACATAGTCATTTTATAAGTATAAATTTTGCATCGATGAAACCATGTTACCACGACATATTAGTAAAGATCACCAAATCAAGTCAGAGTGGAATAAATTAAACAAATCTTGTTGGAGACAGTGACTAAAAACATTAATGGCCAAATGCGTTAGACAAGATAAAGTATGCTACGAAAAAAATTAGTGTGCATCTCATCTTTCCAAATGTTTACCTAAATAGATAGAGGAAATAAATGAAGTAGAAACATGTTGGTCACATGCCAAAATGATTAAACATAACAAACTCATCAAATAGACCTCTAAGATTCAACAGTAGCGAGAAAGCTAACAATGGGCCACTTCTTTTACATTCAAAGATTCGTCGACCTATACCAAAATATTTTTTATCCCTCAATGGCAATGATCAGCTAAAAGATGCAAAGATTTTCAAAGAAAGCCTACAAGAAATTAAAAGACTTGAAATCTCACATAACAGAACAATTTCTCAGTAGAGGAATCAAACTTGAGCTACAAAAAACATAGTCATTTACAAGTAACAACAAGATAGAAACCATATTTGATTGTACCTTACTAAAGGAAAGTTTAAAGTAAAACCCAAAAGAATAAAAAAGATTACTCCTCTTTGACACAAATAAAAGTTAATGCAACGAGACATAAAATTTTAACTGGAAGAAAGATTAAAAATAGGTGAATAATTGATTTCACCAGTTGAAACGATCCATCTGGAAATAAGGAAAATACAGCAAGGAAATGGATGACACACTGATGGTATGTAACACAAACTCGACCAAGTTAAAACATTCTTCAAACTAGCAAAGAGAACTTAGATGTGTTAACCACTAGACTCAAAATGCAGGAAAAGGTAGATATTTGAATCAAACTAATATAATAACATGATATCTTAGACAACCTAACAAGTAGCAACCAAACGATAGTGAAAATCAGCTAGAAAGAAAACGTCAAAAACACCAACCAAATGAAGAGCTAAACTCTTTATCCATCTTTTAGGCATATATTAACGCAGACACATGTTCCAATTCTCTAGCAAAACAACACATATCAACATAAATCAAAACAAAAAAAATAAACCCAAGGATGAAAGAGACATGTGAAAGTGAAAGAAAAAAGAAAGTTATAGTAGATTTCAAAACGCAAACTAAAGCCGAATAAGACGAGCGAATGCTAAAAGGAATTTACCTTTTCTAGGGCAGCAAATCAGAACTTGGCGAGCAGAGGTTACCAGCCAACTTTACCACCAACATATGAAATTGGATGGTAATAAAAAGCTTGGACGGAAGTATCTAACTTAGGTGCTAAAGCTGATTGACTCCTTTGTTTTTGAGACACATTCAGTAGGAATTTTTACCAAGTTGCACTCTGTATCTTTCTCTAAAAAATATCCAACAACAATCTTTTTGCTGGATTTTCAAACCCCCCCCCCCAAAAAAAAAAAAACTCCTCCACATTGGAGAAAAAGAAGTTTATATAGAAAGAAATTAGGGTTCGTATTAATGGGGGGGGGGGGGGGAATCCAACATTGGATAAGAAGAGGCCCCTTTTTCAATGTTGAAGTCCGAAAACTTTCATTGTTCTAGACGAACAACTTTTTCTGAGGCTCTTGACCCATTCCAAAATTGGAAATGAGGATGGAGCTCTTGATTGATCTGTTCGTTCTTGCTCCTCGACGTGGCGCCCATCCAAGCGAGCAAGGACGAGTATTGCAGTTGGAATTATGGAAAATTGTGCCAGATTGTACTTTCTTGAAGATAGAGACGTTGGGGACTTGCTTTCCGTCTCTTTTGACGTAGTGACTTGTCGTTTCTTGCGTGAGGAGAGATGAGGCGTGTAAGGATTGCTTGGTGTGCTCACACATTTTTCGACTAATGAAGTTGAAGTGCTGTTAATTTTCACGCTGCTGTCTTTTGGTGATGGGAATCGATGGGTTTCTAAGGGAAAAGAAAATTTGACCGGTTTGGGAGGTACTTGTTGTTAGGTGTTTTATTGTGTGTTATTTTCTTTTGGAATTTGAACAAAGATAAAATTGGGGCCTTTTTTGGTTGGAAAAAAGGAATGGATTGGGGTTGCTGAAAAAATGAAAAAGTTGGACTAGAAAATAAACCCAACTTGGTCTCAGACGGGTTTAAAAGATTTTTCCACAATAGAATAATTAATAATCTAGTCAAACAGATTAAAGTCGTGACCAAAAGAATTAATTCCGAAGACTCGACTTGGATTCGAATATGAAGAATTACTATTAATTAATTAATGAGATTTAAAATTTTAATAAGATAAAGTAATTAACCTAACTCAATAATTAAAATTTTTAACCAAATTTTAACCTAAACTAATTTAAGAAAATACTTACTGAAAAATTAAAAAAAATTTGAGATGATTTTCGAAATATTTGTAAAATATATTAACTATGTACAAATTTGTGTAAAACATTTATATTTATCTAAAACTATGAAAACTGACGAGATCAATTCAAAATAACTCGACAAAATATTAAATTTTTTTATAAAATCTAATTATTTCAAATCTTTTAGAATTAGAAGCTCGTTAATTGATCATTCGGGGGGGAGTCAAAATGGGGTGTCAACAAAAGCAATATCATATCTCTTTCATGAATGCTCAACACACATATATGTGTGAGAGAGATCAATCACATGTACATCATTATACAAACTCTGATGATTGGTAAAAAAGAAAGAATATGTCATTATGAAAAGTATATTCCATGAAATGAATAAATAAATAAAAAGTGTACCTCTTACAAATTTAGCAGAGAAACCATGATGGAATTATATTGTAATCTCTTAGTAGTGGTGGTGTTGTTGTCTTGCACTTTCTCCTTTGGTGATTGGTGATGATGATGAGCCTCACATTATTTCTTGAACAGAAAAGGTCCAGTATACCCTTGGACTATCTGAAAAAATTTAAACATATCTTTCATCCACCTTTTTGGTTAAAATACCCCTCACTCCGCCTTTTTGGCCCACTTTTATCCTTCAGCTAACATAATTTTCTATTGATTTTAGTATCATTATTATAATGATGTAACAGATTTTTATTTGCTGAAATTAGAATTCCACTTTCACCCCTTTGTTTAACCCATTTCATGACCCAATGATGCATCAAATTAAAACTAAAACATCCGCCACTTTCATTCTGGAATCCAAAAAAAAACTAATTTCGTTTTCTAATAAAGAGCCATTTCAGTTTTCTTGAAAAAAATGCAACAGTAGCAAGGGGTTCACCAAATTTCCGTTAAAAATGTTACATGACATATTGAAAGTATCTTTCAAAAAAAATTGAGTATCTTTACTTAGTGATTGACGGTTCACAAAGAGAAAAAGAAAAATCTATTACTCCAAAAGTGTTATTTGCATAAAATTATTTTAGTTTTCCGTCAATTTGTATACGTATCCTTCATCTAAAACAAAGTGCATTTCTTTAAATTACCAATCTGATAATATTTAATCTGCAGCAATTGACCGTCATTTGGGAACATAATCATCTAATCTGTATTTTATTAATAGATTTTAATATTTACTTATCATAAATAATAGGGAAAATGCACAAGTACCCCCTCAACCTATGTCTGAAATCCCAGAGACACACTTATACTATACTAAGGTCCTATTACCCCCCTGAACATATTTTATAAGTAATTTTCTACCCCTTTTTAGCCTACGTGGCACTAGTTTTTTAAAAAAAGTCAACCATCGTTGGACCCACAAGATAGTGTCACGTAGGTCAAAAAGGGGTAAAAAATTATTAATAAAATAAGTTCATGGGGTAATAGGACCTTAGTATAGTATAAGTGTGTCTTTGAGATTTCAGGCATAGGTTAAGGGGGTACTTGGGCATTATCCCTAAATAATATGACAAATGTCAACTTTGATTTATTTTTTAAGAAAATTTTCTATGATTCGACCAGACCTAAAAACAAATATAACAAAAATTCAATTTTCATTAATATCAGTATTTGTTTAGACGCAAATTAAAATTAAACAATGTTAAATTAAAATTTCAAAATTTAGGTTTTGTATTTGAATTGATTATAAGCTTGAGATTATAAAATAATGTAACTTACTAAAAGAACGGATGTTTTAATTTGATGTGTCTTTGGGTCATGGGGTAGGTTAAATTAAAGGGTGAAGGTGGGTTTCTAATTTCAGCAAATAAAAATCTATCATGTCAGCATAGTAATACTAAAATCACTTAAATAATATTGTGATAGTATGAAGTCTAAGAGTGAGCCAAAAAGTGGAGTGAGAGGTATTTTTAACTAATAGATGGATGAGGGGTATATTATAACCTTTTGAAATAGTCTAAGGGTATTTTTGGCCTTTTGCGTGTCTTATATATAAAATATTATTTGTCTAACTTTATTCTTCTAGAGAATTGTTACTTTGCTATTAAATATTAAAGAATAATGTTAGTGTGTACTATCAAATTTTAAATTTAAATAGGGAAAAAATATGTAATTAAGAGAATTAATATTGTTGCACGTTATATCTAATAAAAAGAGGGGGGGTGTGAAAAGTTGAGTAATGAATGTAATATTTTTTGAGATACTACAAATAAAATAATTAATTACATGAAACAAAAATGACCAAAAAAAGGGGGGGAAAGATAAATATCAATGGAGGCCTTAAAAAAGTGTCACGTCACCTTTCCTATGTTTCTTTTATATATATATATATATATATATATATATATATATATATGTATATATATATATATATATATACACACACACACACACACAGACACAAACACACACAGACACTTATAAAGCGTAATCTATATTATCCAAAGGGCACATTTTTCAAGAATTGCTTAATTATTTGTAGCCAAAAGTCTTAAAGAAAGACCATGCCTGAAAAAGCGGTCCCTTAGACAGTTTTGACAACATTTTTTAAATGTTCTTTAAAATTAGTGTGGCGTGGACCAAATTTGTTGTAATGTGAACTCCTAGATACAATAGATTGTGTAGAAATCTCACGTATATGTGGAGAAATCAAGGATTGTACTGATAATTGAATGATTGAGTCACATACTCCTTATATAGGAGAAGTGTCATATACTAGCTACACTAGGAATCCTAATACAACACAAATATATTATTTACACCTTATCCTAGTCGACTACATCAACTTTAGTCGTAAAAAGTATAGACTTGTACATAAACTAGGATTTAGTAGTATAGTCTTAGTGTAACTCAAACTCAAACTCGTCAGACAACTTCATCGTACTTGTTCTTTTGACATGTTCCATCAGCTTCATTCAAACTTCCCCTCAAACTAGTGAGTGGATGAACTGTAACTCCTAAATTGCGATGAAACTCAGCAAAAACCTATTTGGTTAATGCTTTTGTATGAATATCTGCTAATTGATCCTTAGACTTCACAAACTGAGTAACAAGTTTTCCTCTGGACACCTTCTCACGAACAAAATAATAGTCCATTTCAACATGTTTAGTTCTACCATGCATAACTGGATTAAATATCATTTCTAAAGCACTCATGTTGTCACAATACAATGTACAGACAGATCGAAGAAACACCCTAAGGTCATGAATTAGATACATGATCCATGTAATCTCTGAGGCTGTGGAGGCAAGTGCTCTATACTAAAACTTTAGCACTTGAGCGAGCAATTGTGGACTGTTTCTTGGAGGTCCACAAAATACAGTTTCCACCTAGTAGATTCTATAACATGTAGTTGTTCTCCTAGTTGTGGTACAACCTCCCCAATCAGCATTTGAGTATCCATCAACCTATATGGTGATTGTGAAATAAGTATAAGTCCAAAGAGCCTTTGATGTACTTGAGAATTATTTTTTCCCCTTAAAGATGTTCACTGTTTAGATTTTGCATAAAATGACTTGCTAAATTCATAGCATGAGTAATATTCGGCCTGGTGAGAGTCAAGTATTGAACGCTCTCTACTATCATTCTGTAAGAAGATGCTTCAACCAGGATTTTCACAACTTCACATAGACCATGCTTTGGAGCCAAAAGAGTGGCTATAGCCTTTTCAAAAGTCATTTCAGTCTTGTTTAGTATCTCATTAACATACTTACTCTGGCTTAAGTGGATACCCCCATCAAAATACTTAACCTCAACTCCAAGAAAGAAGTGTAAAGGGCGAAGATCTTTCATGTCAAATTCTTTTCCAAGTTGTCAAACAAATTCTGAGACATGCCATGCATTGCTACCGGTGATAATAATATCATCCATATATAACAAGATAAATATGATTATTTGTGAGCTTGCAATGTAAATAATAAATAATTTATAGTACCTTATTACAGATGAAGCCAAGGTGTAAGAGATGCATGTTAAACGCATCAAACTAGGCTCTTGGGGCTTGTTTAAGGTCATGTACCCTCATTGTAGATGGATGATAGTATCTATATCCTTTGTGTTGGCTGCTATACCCTATGATCACACAAGGATAAGTCTTTGGACTGTTGCTAACCTTGATATACGAAAAACTTCTACGCCCTAACACTTTTAAAGTATTGTTATCAGGTTGTTCCCATACAACTTAAAAATGGAGTCACCATCTTTAGGACTGACGAAGATAGTCTATTAATAAGGAATACTGCAGTGAGGAAAGGCTCAACCATAGAAACAAAGGTAGGTTAGAATGAAGAAGTAGAGTTAAGTCAGTCTCCACAATATGCATATATTTTCTCTTTGCAACTTTGTTTTGTTCAGGTGTATTAGGACATGAGATATGTCTCACAATGCCACAATCTTTCAAATGTTTGATGAAGTCTGTTCGAATAAACTCACCACCTTCATTACACTAAAAAAACTTAATTTCTTTAGAGAATTGTTTTTCCATCATTTTTTGAAATTTTACGATGACATCAAAGAATTCAGATTTCCTTTACAGTGGATAAATCCATGTACATCTCAGGTGAACCTCAACAAAAATGACATGATATTTCATATGTTGTGAAG